CCACCACCACCACTCAAACGTATCATTTCTCCCTTCGGTCTTATTCAGTGTCCAAATTTCACATGCACATGGTGATAGAAAATACCATGGCTTGAGCCAAGCACACCTTAATCCTCAAAAGTAACATCCTTGCTTTTCAACACTTTTAAGATGGTCTTGTGCACATTTACCCAATACAACGCATGATTTAAATCCTCTTCTTATCTAATATGCACTGTACATTATAATATATACCATTGGTTTGGCTTCTGTAGAGAGAACCAAGCCTGCCACGGAGACACTGCACCATCCTAACGGTGGCCTCGTGTGTTGAGTGGAACGTGGATTCGATCACTGGGTTTTTGTTGTCTGATTTTCAGAAGTACGTTTCTAGGCCCTTTTCCTAGTTCCTAAGGTCTGGCAGCTCGGCTGAAACCTGTTCAGCATCGCAGCAACATGTGCCCACCACTGACAAACGGGATGGCTGTGCATGGAGTACACTGGCCAGAAAACAAACAACAGTTGGGGTTTCTTGCATGGAAGTGGAGAATTCTACCACCGAACCATTAATGAGAATTCCTTTAGCATCCATTTAACATATTCAGGGTTGGGATTGCAGGACTAGATAAAAATGCTTATAGAGGGAAGTTCTGGTGAGTGAAAAGAGACACTGAAGGCAGAGACCCCTCTCTGGGGCCCAAGAAAGAGGTGGAGAGAGGAAGGTCGTGGGGAAGGAAAGAAGCAGGAGAGACAAATGGTCTCTCTAGGGTCTTGAGGGCAGAGGGATTCAGGGAGGGCATCCCTGGGTGAGGTTCATCCGAGCCAACCTGAGGAGGCCCTGGGTTGTTTTGGGGCAGTTGAGTGCTCTGCTGAGACCTAGCTAGGGCTGCCCTTCTCCCTATGGGAGACCTTTGGATTCTGTGGCATCAGCAGGTCTGCCATGGGGCCAGGGAGAGGGTGTGACTGAGTGAGCCTGAGTCAGGGAGGCCTGGAGTCTGGCGCAGCAACTATCAGCAAGGCCTGGGCTCGCCATGCCTCCCTCCCAGGGTCCCATGAGACCCTCTTCTAGCCAAACAGAGCCACAAGGAGGAATCTAGAAAACAAACAACAACAAAATCTCTGAACAATTAGCCGGAAGAAACGGAGTTAAACTTATGGGACTATTTATATTACTCATTTTGGACCACATAGGCTTCAAAATGCAAATTAGCTGATTTTTTTTTTTTTGGAGTGGTGGGGGTAGGAGGTGGTCCTCCTTTGCCCCTCTCACTCACTCTCGATTTTCATCCAGTAGGCAAAGCTTTGTGAGGAAGAGATTGTCATTTTTAAATTGATGCTTTATTTAAAAACCACATCTCCTCGGCACCCTTGAATGTCGCCAGTGTAGCTGGATTGACCTGCGGACCTCCCTATCCTCCAACTACCATCTTTGACCCCCGCCTCTACCATCTCCTTGGCTCTCACAGCTGGGTACGGTCACTGGGGTCATTCTCTTCTCTGACTCCCGAGCACCCCCCAAGGCTTCTTCCCTCCAATTTGACTGCCGGCGTCCTGGGGCAAAAACTTCTACCCCACAAGTGTCCTGCACACATACAACATACACTTGGTAAATAGATGCTGGATAACGTTTCATGTTTTCAAAATGTGGTGGAGTGAAATTAATTTCTTTCTTTCTTTTGATCATTTTGAGGGCTCTTACAATTCTTAATACAATCCATACGTCAATTGTATCAGGCATATTTATACATATGTTGCCATCATTCTTTTCTGGACAATTACTTTCTTTTTAAAAAAAATCCGTTTTATTAGGGGCTCATACAACTCTTATCACAATCCATACAAACATCAATTGTGTAAAGCACAGTTGTACATTCATTGCCCTCATCATTCTCAAAACATTTGCTCTCCACTTAAGCCCTGGGCATTAGGTCCTCATTTTTCCCCTCCCTCCCCGCTCCCCTCTCCCTCATGAGCCCTTGATAATTTCTAAATTGTTATTTTGTCATATCTTTCCCTGTCCGACGTCTCCCTTCAGTCACATTTCTGTTGTCCGTCCCCCAGGGAGGGGGTCACATATAGTTCCTTATAATAGGTTCTTTCTTTCCAACCCACTCTCCATCTACCCTCCCAGTATCGCCACTCACATCACTGGCTGGACAATTACTTTCTATTGAGCCCTTGGTATCAGCTCCTCTTTTCCCCCTTCTCTCCCCACCTGAAATTTCTTAATATGGCTTTTCTACCCAAATCTGAAATTCCTATCAAATGATTGGGTGGGACTATGCAAATAGGGTGTGTTTAACCCACGTCTCTGAAATTCCTATCAAATGATTGGGTGGGACTATGCAAATAGGGTGTGTTTAACCCACGTCTCTGAAATTCCTATCAAATGATTGGGTGGGACTATGCAAATAGGGTGTGTTTAACCCAAGTCTCTGAAATTC